TTTCCAAGCATAGAGCCAAATCCACCTTCGTCGATGAAGTCTCGTTGCATATCAATTGAAACAAGAGCTGTATGATGAGGATTAAATGTGAATGGATAAGGTAAACCACAATCGATTGAAATAGTAGTACTCGCTTCCATGGTTAAAGGGAAAGTTTTTTCGTGCTATATTCTGGAAGAATAAAAGTTATATCAGCTATATGAATACTGACTCTATATACATGCAAATATATCCTAAATAGATAAAAGAAAGAAAGGGCACATGGATGTCTTATTTGTATGAAGTTTATATTCTGTTGATACTTGAAGTATCAATGAAATATATGACCTATATACCAACAATCACATATGATATGAGAAGAGCAAAAAATACTTTTTTCTTTTTCAGTCGACACGTGTATCATATGTAAAAGTGATAAGAAAACTAGAATAATAACTTCATAGTAACAAATAGCAATAGGCGTGTAACATGAGAAAGTTTTCAATTTTTACAGTTTGAAGAACAGCAGTACGGATTTCTTTAAATCTCAGTACTTAAGGGTTTTGAGCGATGCTCTTTCCGATGGCTAACTCAAAATAATTTTAAAAATGCCCGAAGTAGGCTTTCCAGAAAACCATGATTTTTCACACATTCATTTACAGAAAATAAGTTTTTTTTAAAGAAACATTTGTCTGTAAAAATATTTCAAATTAGCGGTTCTATTCGGAATTGAGTGGGCTACATTTCAAAAAAACGTCGGACTCTCCAGCTCATAATCTGAAATTTTTATTTTAAATTTAAATTTTAAATTTTAAATTTTTAAAAAAAGAGTAGAAGCCTCAGTATTATATACCACTATCGGATTCGCAAAATAAGATATCCGGCGCCTCTTCGAATAACTCGGTAATGCGAAGAGATACCGAGAAGTGGTTATTGCCTACTTGTAGCCAAGTTCGGAACAGATCGAATTATGGCAGAAAATGCTTTTTCATTGGGTCTCCAGGAGTTTTCCAAAAGAAAATTTGAAAAAACCAGCTCGGATCTCTAGGAACTGAGATAGCCATCTATCAGTTTTTTCTATAGACAGATAGTCCAGAATGTCTTCTCCAAAATGAGAAGTAAGTGAACTTTTAGTTTTTCCTAATTTAGCCCTGGCATCGGATTTCCGTAGAGTCCCAAGATTACATGGAGTTTTAATTAATAATTGACTGCTAGGTAAGATTCAGAGATAATTAGTTAAAAAATACCTCATTTTGTAGCCCAAATCTTCCTCTCTCTACCATATGATTTCCAGCTCATTATCGTTTAAACTCATTAAACTAATTACGACACAACCCTAGTCAGAAACCTATACATTTCTTGACAGGATCCTGGAGAAATCTGGCCAGGATCCTGCCAGGATTTAGCTGGCTTTTTGGTAGGATCTTAGGAAAATCTTACAGAATCCTAAAGAAATCAGATATACCGGAAAGTTGTAGGATTTGACATTTTCGGACATTTTCGTATTTTCACTATTAGGATCCGAAATTAAAATTTGGAACGTTTATTAATATATCAGCTTGTCAAGGAAAATCTGTTCCACAAAATTTACTGTTTGAGTAAATTTTTGTCTACCAGCAAGGCATCTCAATTTTCGTTTTTTTTACCNCAGCATCACTTGAATAAAAGCTACAGCTTAGTTCAAGGTCACATTTTGTAAAGAATTGTTTGCTCTAAAAAGCTACTGAATCGGACAATTTTTAGCATCTTTGCAAAGGGACGTATATGGGTAAGCAAAAACCTACTGTTCGTCGTCCAAACTGATTTATTAAGCCTTTGTAAAGATTCCATCACTACTCTCGAATAAAAGCAGGCACAAAATTTCTAAGCACATATTCAGAAACGGCACAAAAATCTGTTTCTAGCCCATAGTTTTAAACTCATATGAAATACTTTCATGCAGGCCAAAATAAACAAATATTTTGTTCAAAAACTTCGGCCCATCCGTTCCGTTCAAACTAATTTTTTAGACCTTTCAAAGATTTTCTCACTACTCTGGAGCAAAATTGGATAAAAAATTTCTTAGTCCATATTCGGAAAGAGCATCAAATTCTGGTCCTAACCCATAGTTTTTGACCCGTCTGAAATACTTTCAAGCGGGTCAAAAATGAACAAATATTTTGTCCGGAAACTTTCGACTCACCATTATTGAAAATTGTTATATGTTTTGCTAGAGGTGGAATAGCGCGGATACTTTCACAGAATTGTATGTGAATATTCAAGCCGCTGTTCAATTTGCAACTTTTACTAGTAGGTGTAAAACAACTGAGGTAATTTACATTACTAAAAAAACATGAATACCACTGGGTGTCCCAGAATTATATGTACATACTTAGAGACGTAAATAAGCTTGCGGTTGGAGAAGGTGGGAATTTTCCCTGGATGGGAAAATTCTCACCTTCTCCAACGTTAAGCTTATTCACGCCTCTAGCTATGTATATAATTTTGGGATACCTGTATTTTTAAATTCTGCAGAATGTATTAAGATAAAGCTTTTTTGTCAGTTGTATCATTGTATTTCTAATAGGAGGTGTTGAAGAATTTATCTACTTGGCATCGTCTCGGACAATAGTGTAATGTGTGAATAACACTTACTGTTTGTTTTAGATGATCTGATCTTAATTAGCATTTATCTTTCTTGTAGCAGCTCTTTGCTATTTTTCACAATTACTAATTATTACAAAATACTTAGGGCTATCCAAAAGTAGTGAGGGAGGTACTATTTTTTCTTATAGAAAGCTTGAAAAATGTTTCTTTTTTTATGAACAGATAGAGCGTCTTTCGCTCTATTTTTCTATGCTATT